TTCCTATTCCTTAAATTTTCCCAAGCATGCCTTAGTATGTACTTTTCCAGCTATGCTTTAATTAGGCTCCCTTTGTAGTTTGGTATTTAAAAGTAATGCTTTCATCTCACAATTCTAAAAACTTTTCTAAATAGGTCACAATGATTAATAGTGAGGTCCATTTAAACACACTCCACTGGACTTACTGGCTTTAGCAGAAACTGACTTTAATAAACCAGTCTGTTCTTCACATTCAGCTACGTCCAGGCACTTTCTGAGGTCATGTTACTTACTGCACAGATATACCACCAATCGTTGAGGTTTATTTGTACACGTTCTGATGAAGCCTTAGTAGAAAAACTATTTGCTTCTCCCCAAAGACAATTCTTCCCCATCTTCAGGCAACAACAACATTTGCTGAATTAAGCTAACTCTTACAAAATTTAGCTGTAAATATAACCAAACACTAGACTAGGATGTCAAAAGAACACCTGAGAACTTATACGGAGTTCTGAAAGACAAGACAGCTACCCCTGCAAAAAACCCGGAGCTGCCAACTCGACAGAAAGCAAGGCCGGGGCTGTAGGCGCACTTGCACGCCCCAATGCATGTATCACAGGTTGAACTGTAAAAAAAGGTAGCACTGTGCTAGTGTGTACTCTTGTTGTGAGATAGTCATGATCTGCCACACAAAGGCCTTTGTGTAGGCAAAGAGGTGTGAGGAAATGGTTCCTCTTTCTTTACAATACATGGAGACCCTATAGGGGTGAAGGAGTCCACCATGTCTTCCTTCCAAGATAGAGCCAACAAATACATTGGGCAGTTTATTAATTTTTTTCGTAGAAACTTTGTTTTCCTCGTGGTACAATTTAGCTTCAGTACAGATCTCATTTTTCTCTTGCTTTCCTTTGCTTTTAATTTCTTCCACTTCCACCCACCTCTCTAAAATTTTAGTCATTTTGGAACTGGTAGAAATGCTAGAAATGAATATAACCATGTGTCCTCTTGGTGGAATAAAAAGCAAAGAAACTGCTGGGGCTGACACTAACACTGACTCCCGACAAGAGGCAACCAAAATCACCGAGTGACAACTGCAACCCCAGGCTAAAACAGTCTACGGAGCACAGGCACCAGGGTCATCTTCCCAAAGGGTAAGACTGGGAAGAGATAGGGAATTGGGGTTTTTTTTTTCTTTAAAGGAAAGGACAAATTCTAATCTTAAACGAAAAGTTTGATTTTTGACTCCTATATATACTAAAAAGATCATTTATACACCGTTAAAATAACCCAACCAGAAGGTGCTGTTGTTATGATGGCACCAAAGGCTTGCTCACAACAAACCTTCCCTAAGAAATTGTCTTTTTTTGAAGTTTACTAAAGTAGCAAACAAACCACAGACAAACATGTCTTGCTTTTACTAATAATTTGGTAAGTTTCCATGAGGTCAAAATGAAGAAGTATATAGACTAGTCAACAAACTTAGTTAAATATGTAACACATCAAAATATGTTCAAAAACATATCCAAGTATACCAACTAACGTAGCAATCTTAACTTAGACCACTGATCTTTTGCTCTTAATATTTGTATTAAAAATAGACGAAGAATGAGAAAACATGCTAATCAAATATGTAGATGTTGTGGGAGCAGGGAGAAATAGTTAATAGATATCAAATCAAGACTCAATGGAACAAGAGCACAAACCATTAGGATAAGATGACAATACAATTAAATATTCTTCATTTGTGCCACCCACCCCCCCCAAAAGGGAAAGCATGGAATGGGAGAAAAAGCTGGCCTGTGAAAAATTTTTATGGAAAAAAAAAAATGAGCTAGAGGCAACATTCTATTTGAGGCAGAGGTATGATGATGCATCTAAATATGAAAGGTAATACAGTCATATTAACATTTTTGATTCAGGGGGTCATTACCACATGGGTTTCTGAATCTGGATGCAGTACTTCAGTAAGCGGAGAATACCCTGAGTGGGTCCTGATGAGAAAGCCTGGGGAGCAGACTCAACCACTTGAGGGGTTGTGAGGTCCAGGAAAGGACTGGACCAAAGCTGCCAGTGTGAACTTGGCTGCCTGAGCTCTGCATTCTCCTCTTTTCAGCCTGGGACCAACCAAAAGCAACAAGGAAAATGGAAAACAGAAACAGAAACCTCATTTCTAGCAAAACTGAGAGACAGCCCGAAAATATCTGCAAAGACTTCTAAGACCTCCAGTTCACACAGGAGCTGAGAGGGAAGTGGAGGAAGATAAAGGAAAGGGATCCTAGCAGCAGCACATCTCAAGGAGCAAAGGAAGAGGGGAGTATACACACATACTGATTTCTTTTTTTAAAGATTTTATTTATTTATTTGTCAGAGAGAGAGAGCACAAGCAGGGTGAGCGGCGGGCAGAGGGAGAAGAAGGCTCTCTTCTGAGCAAGGAGCCCGATGTGGGGCTCGATCCCAGGACCCTGGAATCATGACCTGAGCGGAAGGCAGCCACTTAACCTACTGGGCCACCCAGGTGCCCCACACGTACTGATTTCTTAAAGATGAAGGACCTATGAGGGGCAAAAGCACTCACCTGCAAAGAGGGCTCAGGGATGGCAGGAGTCCTTAGCCCCAGTGAGCCTGATTTTGTGGCAGTTGCAAAGAAAGGAAAATCTGTACTCAGTTTTCCTGCAACCGACTTTCGGGCCATTTCTTTTTGTCAGTCACTGACAAATATTTGTTATCTTTCATTTTTGGGGGGTTTTCGTTTGATTGTTTGTTTGTTCTAAGTAGACTCTAACCCTGGCGTGGAGCCCAAGGTGGGGTTTGAACTCATGACCCTGAGATCAAGACCTGAGCTGAGATCAAGAGTTGGACACTTAATGGACCAAGCCACCCAGGCGCCCCTCTCCTTTCAGTTTTAATTGTCATTTATCTTATGACTTAGGCTGACCATCTCTATCTACTTTGTTAATAACAAAAGGAATCCCTATTCTCCAAACAGTTCTGATTGAAGCTTTAATGCCAATAAAGTTAAAAATGATTTATGGTTTAAATATTCCCAAATTACCTCTGGGACCTAGAGTGTAGATAACACTTAATTACCCCAGGCTAGTAAAAAGGAGCTAGATCACCAAGAATCTAAATTAGTGGATTCTATTCATGCAAATGTTCCCTCTTTCATACCCAGCTCCATCTTTCCTGCTTAAGAGGTGCCAAGAGGTGACTCTGAGTTTGAACTTTTACTGAGAAGCTGAAATTAAAGGGCTAATTGAAGCAAGTAAAGTCCAAAGTTCTCATTTAGCAGACATCTTTAATCCTCTAGTCTTTGTTTTAACTAATAAAACAAAATGGCTGTCAAACTTCAGTCTCTCTTCTCTAGCCAGTGCTGGCCTTCACTTTGCAATCCTCCTCCCTACAGATGCTGGATAATGGACATTTGTCTCACTACCACTTGGCCTGAAAGCAATTTCCGTGGCATGTGTTACAAATGAGCTTGAGCTGAAGTTATAAACCACCAAACTAACCTGTATCGTGTCCTTAGGCAAAGTACAGCCCAGAGTTTAAATGGACAGTGGAGAATACTGCATAAAGTACTAGAAATAGCCAGAGCCTCAACACTCAAGCATTCTCACATACAAAGTTCAAATGGTCAACATTCAACTTCAATAAACCCTGGGCCACTCTGGGTTTCTGTTATGTTCAAAGAGCACTGAGAAGAGTCTTAAAAATACTACAAAAGAGTTTGCAAATAAACTGCAAAAAGGGTTACACAAACAGCAATGTTGTCCCTCCTACAGAGGAAGGTTACATCCTATGTTTTCTTCCATAAGCCCAGGCTGAATATTTCCAGTCTCCTTAGTTAGAAAGGCACTGGTTTTCTAAACTAGGAACAAAGTATTAAGTTTTCAGATTCACACTACAAAACACACAGATTCCCCCTAACCCCAAAATATTCTTAAATAACTTGGGTAATACACCATGTGTTGTTATTTACATTAAACTCCAACTGTTTAATATCAATACAGGGCTTTCTTGTTGTTTTGGGTTCTTTTTCTGCTGTAAGAAATATGAATCAAGGTGTATGAATTAAGTAGAAACAGAAACTACTATGAATGAGAAATTTGGAGCTGTGAAATATATAATAAAAGGAAAAAAAAATCAAAAGGTTTTTTTTGAGCCCCAATGAAATAGAGAAATTGACGTTTCTATGAATTATAAATGAAAATGCTGTGGGTAACCAGAGCAGCAATGTTAATAGTATTAATGAATTAAATGAGCAGGTAGTACAAAATGTATTTTCCCACTGCAGAATATAACTAATCCCACTACATTAACAACTAGATTACAGAAGAGCAGGTGTATTATACCCAATGTAATTCTTTTCTCATCCCTTACTCTTTTTCTTAAAGATTTTATTTTTAAGTCATCTCTGTACCCAACATGGGGCTGGAACTCACAACCTGAGATTAAGAGTTGCAAGCCCCACTTGACTGAGCCAGCCAGGTACCCCTTTCATCCCTACTCTTAAATAGAGCTACAGTTGAGGCATTTATTTAAAAAAAAAACAAAAAACTCCTAAAGTTAAGGCATTCTTATAAAAAATGTTTTCCTGTGAAAAAGTCTGAAGTTTCAGAAAAATATGTACACATGAACTTGGACCCAGAGGCCAAGAGAAGAAAAGAAATCAGGTCAAGCCTGAGCTCGCCAACTTAAACCACAAACAGAAACAGCCTTTGCAGAACTGGTATGATGCTATCTCTGGGCCCCTGCTGTTCTGCATCTAAGCACAATATGCTGATGAGTAACTGTGGGGCAGGTCCTTAAGTTTTTACAAGCAAGGAAAACATTTCGAAGACCACAAGGAATGTGAAGGCCTGCCAGTCCAAAAGTGTAAGCTCTCCCTCCAAAGTTACCTGAACAGGTAAGCCAGGGGAAAGGTATTCTGTCAGGAGGCCACAGAAAACATCCATTTGAGTGTCTAGCTACCAATGTGAATAAAGAAAGAGAAAACCAACTGGACGTTTCCCTTTTCCCACCTCTTCTAGCCGCCGCCTCTGTTCTTTCTGTTGCTCAATCCGTTTCTGCCTCTCTGCCAGCAGCTGTCTTTTATATTCTTCTTGCTCCCGGAGCTGTTGCTCCTGCAGTAACTGCTGTCTCCGAAGAGCCTCAGAACGTTCCTTGTTCTCCTGCTGCAGTCTCAAGAAATCCCGCCGAAGCGTCGACTCACCAGGCACGTTGACGATGGAGCTGGAGGAGGAGGACGCAGGGCTTTCAGGGGTGCGCACAGATCTCTCTGCCCTCCAGGTGAGACTGGGGCCTCAGCCTGCTATTCTATTCATCCTCCTAATGAGTTCCTCCCTCTCTGAGGCTCAACTAATAAACCCATGGGAATAACTGTATCTACATTCAATAGTATTACATCTTTTATCCGTTTCACAAATATCTTCAAACTCCATCCTGGATGTTTGCTTGATAAGACATCTCTACTCAGGATTCTCACATCAACTCAAACTCTGTACAAGGAAAGGTGGAAATCCCCTTCTTCCACTTGATGAGTAGAAGTGGAACCACCTTCCTCTTCGACCACCTTACTTCCCACCAAGTCTTACTACATATGCCCTCCCACTGCCTGTTTCCAGAGTAAGCAGCTGAGCCCAAGTGGGTCTCAAGAATGAGCCGTGGCACAGATAAACAGCATCACCGCTAGCTGGTCTCCCTGCTGAGAGCGACGGCTCCATTTCCAATACCCAGAAAAACATGGCAAATCAATCTCCTGAAACTGCCTCTTTCCTTGTATCATGCTCCCACCCAAGACAATTACACTGCTCATGAATTTACTCCAAAATACTTAGTCTCAAATGGATTCAAATATTCTCCTATGCAAAAAGAAAAACATATGGAGTTTTAACAGTACATTTTCTTATCTCTTCATCTGCTCTCTTCAAACTCCCATTGCCTGGACATAGGTCTCCACAGGTCTTTCAAGATACCCTTCCAGGCTCTTTTTGTTCAATGAGTCAAGTTATGTGTAGCTAAAGGCATGAAGGACTGCCAGGCAAGACCATTATTAAAATTTTAAAAGCCCCTATTCTCTGAATAGTTACTCTAAGGTTCATACTACCAAACCTTCAACCTTCTGCTTCACTGTACCTTAGGAAGCCACAGACACCCAAAACATAGTCTGTAAGATGGATCAGGACAGAATGTACACAAGTAGAAGAACTGTATTGCTGATAACCACACTTGTGGGAAAAGCAAAACAAAACAAAACAAAAAAACATTTTGGGAAAGACTGCAGTGTTTTGCAACGGAGGCCCGACTGGCCCCTGGGCAGGACTAGTCTTTGTGAGCAGGCCTCTTTTATACACTGCACAGCGCGTACCATTCACGCCTCCTAGAGCAGCAAGCGCCAGCAGCAGGCTCCCCGTCCCCAGAACCAAACACAGCCCAACACGCTGCCAGATGACAGAGGGAGGGGAACAATGTAATCTTGGGGAAGCACCACTGGATGCGAGGATCCTGAGGGGGGAAATGTTTATAGGAATCTTTCAAAAGATAAAGAAGAATGAAGATGTTAAGGCACTTTCAAGGTACTTGAAGATTTCTTGAAATCCTGGCATCGATATAAAACCATTTCTTCATAGGCAGGAAGCTGAACAGTGAGTAGCTTTATCATTACCTTGGCTCTCCTTCCTGTTCAGGCACTTCCTCCTCTTCTTCCTCACTCCCACTGTACTCATATTCGGTTTCATCTATAAAGAAAAGGGCAAGATAAATGGGACAGTTCACAAATCATGACACATGCACCTCCAAGAGCATTACAGCAAAAAATAATATGTCCTTTATGAAACTAATAACGTGTACAGAGAACCTGGAAGCAGGAGGAGTATGACATCCAATTCCCAGAGTGAATGGCAGCATTCCCTGGGCTACCCTTACTCTGCATGGAAGAGCGGATTCTACTGCGTTCCAGACAGCTCCTATGGGATGCACTGGGGAGGGGGTCCAGGGCTGTGAGAGGGGCTCTCAAGCTCTTGACACCTAAGAAAAGTGGCCTCAAAGCGTCAGCAAATTCGGAAAGTCCCACTGATGCCAAAATGCAAAAAAAAGATATTTAATGGCCCAAACCAAGGCAACTAGGAGACATCATTTCGTTATTGTTGGCACTCAGGGAACCACTTAGAGCCCAGCAGAAAGGTCTGCAGGCCTGACCACGGGTGAAGCGCAGGAAGCACTCAGAGCTTAAAGACATGAAATCAAATGTTCCCACAAATTTACAAAGATGAAGCCGGGGAAAAACTGATGCAGAAACAATACAGCAAAAGGAGAGAAAAGTTGCTCTCCTCTCACCAGATAAAGCGCAAGTTTCAACATGAGCACCCTGTTTTCACTTCAACAGGTTTTATGCCATTTTCCGCAAAGTAACAGCCCATCTTATTGGACCCTGTACCTAATATCAGTACCCAACTTTGAGGGAGCATTGCATTCCAGAGAGCAATCAAAACTAAAAAGGTTGAAGAGATTTACAAAACAAATCTATTCACAAAACACATTTCCAACTTTTTTCAGAGATACACAGAAGCTGAAAATCAGTGTCCTGGTAAGAAAAACAAATCTGAGAACTTAAAATGGGGTTCCAGTCTATATCATATATAATTATACATAAATATTTCTACAAATTCATCAGTCTCTATATATGACATTAGTTCTTTTCATTGCTAGACAATCAAAACTATGTAATTTTAAAGAACATTAAAATAGCCTATCTTCCAAAGGAAATTCCAACCTAAATAATCTTTGGACTCCTTTAAATAGTACACTCTGTTATGTTTAAAATTTTGTACTATAAGCTATTCCTTATTGACAAGGGGATGAGGGTATTTGAAAGGTAAATGAATGCCAAGGGGGAAAAAAGGCCACTGTGACTTGAAAACTAAAAAATGAAGATAAAGTGCTCCACTGTTCCCACCCGCAAATGTGCACGAGACTCCAGGCTGAGTAGCTGGTAAATGCCTGGCACACAGCAAATGTTCCAGGACTGTGAGCTATTATTAAGAAAATACACACTGGGAAAATGATCCAATGTACAAATAACTTTTCCCAAGAACAAGCTTTGTTTTCAAACTTTAGTTCACTCGTTGTAACTGCATGGCTTAACGTACAAAGCTTAATTACGTTTATAACTGAATTTATCAGAGGGCGAAAAAGTTGTGAGCATCACTGATGATTTAGCTCTGAAGACTGAAATGAACATGTAAAAAGCTCGAACAGACCTCCAAAGAGGACTGTGAACAACTCTTTTATCACCTTGAACTTGCACTTTTTAGTTTTTTCTTTGACCTTGAAGTTTGAAGGTCAAGAAAAATTCATTATCAAGATGCCAGGTATTCAAATGTCTTTCTGTAAAGTTATGGTAAGAATTCATAAATTCATAATTCTTTGATCACTGTGAGCTCGAGGCCTTAGAGGAAGGGCTGTGAAAACGGTGACGAAGCTTGACTGCACTTTGCTGGACAGAGGTAAACAGAGGGCACTCCAGGCAGGTGGACACAGAACATGTAAAGATATAAAACCAAGATACTGGGAACAGAAAGGAATGTTAAATAATTGGCATAAGGGCATGTTCGTGTTGTGCCGTAATGAGAGAAAAGTAGTCAGGTGACCACGCCACCTGCACAGAGTACAGCAATAAGAAACCCAGAGGGTTCTTGAGCAGGAGAGAAATGGGTGAACATACCGATGCGGATGTTTACAGGTGATGCTCAATAAACCTTGAGTGATGTATTCAGAACACAAATGCCCATAATGAAGTAAAAAGAGCAGCACAAAGACATGCTCCTGTGGGGGAACGAGAGAAACACCCCTCCGTGTTGACCAGCCACAGTGCTTTCTATCTGGTGTCCACCTGGTGACACTACACGCAGCTCCAGTCAGCTCGACCTGAGCCAGGCTGGACCTGAGGCTCATGACTGACCTGCAGAGCAGAGACAAGCTACTCCAGCACTGGCCAAGGGAGCACACACTCCTGGGTGGAAAAGGAGTAACCTATTCTAGTGGCAAAAACCTAAAATATTATTTTTTCAAGATGAAAATAAAAACAGGTCAGTACCTTTCTCTCCTCTCTTCTTTCTGGTCCGGTCTATATGGTCCTTAAGCTGGATTCTAACTTGCCTTTCATTTGGCTGATCCCTTATAAAAGGATGTTTCAAAAGCTGCTCTGTGGAGGGTCGCTGCATGTAATTCTTCACCAGGCACCCTTCTATAAAACTAAAAAATTTCTTTGACCTGTAAGAGGAAGTAAAAAAGATCATCAAATTTCCACTGCAAAGAGCAAGACTCCATAATATGAGTGAATTATTAGTCTGAAAACATACAAGAGCTTCAGATTTCACTGTGAACATTCTGCAAATGCACAGGAAAGTATTAGGAACTCAGGACCATGGTGGATAAGAAGCATCACTTAAGCATGGTTTAAGAGTTATGCCACATCATCGACAACAAATCACCAACAGAGAGCTTTGAAGGAAGTCAGATTCAAACAAACTGGGTTTAAATGTAATGTTGCTTATTAATCATTGAATCACAGAGGTGGAGAAGGCAAGGGGGTAAAGGAAGGCTTTTGTGAAAACGAAGGCAGACAGAGGACAGCAGATGTCCGGAACCTGGAAGACAAGGATGGACACAGAGATAAGGAGTCGGTATGTGACCAAATGCTGGGGCTCTTGAACCTGTTAATAAGACATTTCTATCAGTTTCCAACTGATTTATCTATCAATTCTCTATGCTTAATGTACAGAGGTAGAAATACGTAACAGTTCTGAGGAGGGCAAGGATTCTGTCACCTACATTTACCCTACCAGCTACTACTATTTTTGCCTGTTTCTCCATGCCTGGCTCATGATGACCCCCATCCCTGGTCTTGGCCGAGACACTCACCCATCCTCTTTTGAGACTCAGGTAAGTCGTCGTCTCTTTAGGTAGGGCTTTTCTGGCAACACTCTACCCCTACATCCCCAAAGTTAGGAGCTTTTCCTCTAGGTTGTCTGCATTTAATAGACTGTACATGTCATGTTTATGTTTCTGTCTCCTCTGCTGAGGTAGAGGTCAGGAATTGGTTCTGATTTTTCAATGTCGGCAATGCCCAACACTGAGCATGGGCAGACCACAAGAAGTATGTAATAAATTTTTGTTGAATGAATGAGTTGTTCAGTCTTTTAAAAATGTGATTTAGAAAATTAGTTCAGTTCTTTCCAATTACTTCACTGCTTTTAAGAATCATGTCTACTGTCTTATATTTCCATTCAAACTTACCATTTTTTTTCAATTCAACAAATATTTATATATCAACAATTTACATTTGTTTATGCTAGGCTCTGTAAGAAATACACACAGGAAATAAAGTGAAGGAAATCTATGTACAAACAACAGCAGATGTGTTATCAAACTGCCAGAGGAAGAAAGAAAAGAACTACTGCTACAGGAGGTTAGACATCAAAAAAAAGTAGGATAGTTGATATTCTAGAGATGGGAGAGAGAAGCCACCATTCCAGAATGAAAGGAACACCATGAACAAAAGTAGAAAAGTACTAGAGAGTAATGAATATTTTTTTTTTTAAGATTTTATTTATTTATTTGAGAGAGAGAGAATGAGAGACAGAGAGCATGAGAGGGAAGAGGGTCAGAGGGAGAAGCAGACCCCCCGCTGAGCAGGGAGCCCCATGCGGGACTCGATCCCGGGACTCCAGGATCATGACCTGAGCCGAAGGCAGTCGCTCAACCAACTGAGCCACCCAGGCGCCCAGGTCATTTTCTGATGCTAGTATGAAAAGTGGAAAAGAACAGAAAAATAGGTCAGGGTCAGCTCAGAGAAGGGCTCTCAAAGTCATTCAGCGAAGTTGTGACTTTATCCTGTGGTTAATGAGAATGTTGTAGTGGACCTTGTTTTTAACACAGAGATTCCTCAACTCCACTGCCCACAAAGACCACTTGAGGAGTTTATCAAAAATACAAATACCTGGGTCATTCATCGGACCTAAAAACCAGAAACATGAAGGCTGAAACCCTAAATTAAAAGATTCCAAAGGGGTTCTTACCTACCAAGTCTAAAAATTAACATTTGAGAATCAATGATCTACAATATCTTCTTTAAAATCGATTGTCAAGTTCTGCTGGAAGAGAGTTCGCTGATCACTTCTCCAAAACCAGTAGTACATTGGTGGACAGGAAGACAGCAATCAGAAAGGAGGAAGAACATTATGTGTGCAATCATCTCATCCTTTCAGAATACTTGGGTAAAATGAGAGCAACCATGTAAATGGATGAAAATGCATCTAATCAAGTTTAAAGAAAGTTTCATGTAAGAACACAGAAAGAATCTGTCATCTACATCTGTCTCTTTACATCACTGTATTATACACAGAGTGGTTAATCCCAAACTGCAAGTAATGGACAGCATAATCAGAGTGGGGCCAGCTGACAAGACTTGTGAATTACGAGGTACCCTGAAGACAGAGCATAAACTCCATTTTTAAAAAAATAGCATTATTTTGTTTAGCTGGCCAGCCCCACAGCTTACTCCTTGGTGATGCCCGCTATATACATTTGGTTTCCCTAGGGCTGGCCACCATAGATGTCCAGAGTTATCAGGTTTCAATACAAGAGACCAAGTGGGGCTAAAATCTTGGCAACCATACTGCCTTAGAGAACTCTCTAAAACCTGGTAAGTGGAACTAGATAAGCTCAGTTATCTGGAGTTGAATGTGGTTAAAGACAGTATAAAAAGAATGAGAAAACTCCTGCCAGCAAACAAAAGGTGGGGAGAGACAGTCAGGAACAGGGAGAAGTGTGAAAGAAGCAAGAGTAAAAATACATGTGTGCATATAATGCCCACAGATGGGAAAAGAGAACTACAGGACATCAGAAGATGAGCAACCAAGAAGGAAAGAGCAGACAGCAAGAGCTAAAAGACCAAATCCAGAAGAGAAAAAGGCTTGAAATTGAGATCTTTTGCATATTTCACAATTAGAGTCGAAAACCCAAGAAGAGACAACACTCACTGGAAACCCAGTGAGAATAGTTACAGAAGGGGAAAAAACCACCCTGGTAGTAGGTGTGAGCACTAATAAGACCGATGTGCCCAGGAAAACAGGAACAGAAGGTGAGAGGGCCCACATGCACGAGGAGGCCGAGTGGAGACAGAAGTGAGAGGAAAGCACTCAAAAAAAAAGGTCAAGAGGAAATAAGTAAGCAAAATTCTCAGGTGAAAACAATGCACTACCCTTTCCCTCAACACTTTTAAAACTAAACCAAATCAACACTTTCCCACACCACCACAATTCTTCAAGTTTTCGCCAGAGAAGGTCACCATCATTGCCCTTCACTGATAAAGTGACTTTTCTGGAGCAAATATATGAGGGCCACAGGGAGAAAGGTGGCAGCCCAAAGACAGGACCATTCTTTTCATTTCTGGAATGAAACCTAATTTCAACGTTTTGCAACAATTAGAGTAAATGCCTCCATTAACATTCGAATCCCATTTCACCTGAGGAGTTTCAAACTCAGTACAGCTTTGCTTTTGAATGTGAAAATGCTTAGAAATGTATTTTACTTAAAAGAGGGCTTAAAGTGTTATTTATTAATTAAAATTAATAAATTAATTTATTAATTAAAATATTAAAATGAAACTTTTTTCTTTAACCAGTGTTTCCTATGGTCACTTGTTACTATTTTGTAATTAAAAGAATTTATTAAGAAAAAAACATTTTAAAAAAGATACTTTTTAATTGGTGTTTAAGGGCACTGGCTCTTATGTTCTTTGGGAACTGGAATGACTAGAATTTTGTATTGGAGTGAAACTGAAAAGGAACAGTTTTTGTAAAAAGGAAAAGAGCAACAACAACAACAAAGCATACATAGCTTACCATTTTTTTGACTTCAGCCTGGGAGGAGGGTTTCTGGGAATGAGAAACAGTGCTCTCATTGGATGCATGTCACAGAGAGCTGGGGAGAGGAGACGGTGACGTCAGTATGGCACTTTTTACTCATTTTTTATTTCTAGGGCTCACTCAAAATATCTAATGTGCTGTCCCATCACCTGATGGACAATCTTTATGTCAAGCGGTCTAGACATTCAGATATGAACCCTAGGGCAAAACCTGAATTCCCCATTTAAACACAGCAAAATATAAGGAGGTCAAGAGCAACAAGAAGAATATACAATTTCAAATTGACATTGGAAAGTTTTCGTAAATCAAAGGTAAATACAGATTTACAGTCTTAAGGGAGTGAACAGCTTAAGTTTCTAAATCATCTATAAGATCGCAATGAAAATAATTTTATTGTCATAGGGTCGTGGTGAGGATTTAAATCAGACACTGTTTGTAAAGGCATTCATACAGTGCCTAGACACAGTAAGCGGCTGTGAAGCCCTGCAGAAATGTTAACTGTTCATTTGCGCTAGTGCTAGGAAGGAGCAAAGATGAGAGAATAAAACAGACTATTTGATTCTGTGCAAGTACCGTTTGTACTTCTACAATACAATAATACAATAAAGCTATGTCAGGTGCACGCATTAATATGTCACAATAGGTAATGTGCATTTTTGTGTGTCTATTTACCTTCATGGGTATCTTACAAGGCAGCTGGGAAATGGGGGCCAAAGAAGACAATCTATTCCCACTGTGAAAGAAAACTGAAACAAAGGATCTGGCAATATGCCCCTGTCTCAATTCCTCAGATGGAAACATGAGGAAACACATGGTGGTCAAGACTGACATCTACTTCTTGTACCACAAACTAAATTTCAGCCGTTGGAAATTTTTTTCATTCATTCAACAAATATTTATTCAGCAGCAACTAGGCAGCAGATACATTCTTTGTATACCCCCCTTTTTTAAGGGGACCAGCAGATAATGCTGTTTTATCTCTATACTCTGCAATTCTACCCCTGTCTCTGCTCAAAAATCAATTTTATGAAGTTGGCGTTCAGTTAATCCAAAGGAGAAGCAAATTTCACAAGTAACAAAACAAAACAAAAAAACAAACAAACAAAAAAAACCCACAAAAAACCCAGATCTTATTCTACAGATAAAAAGTTATGCCTCTGTTGGTAAAGTCAACAGAAGTATTACTAAAATTTCATGTGTCAGGACCAGTTTCATGTATTAGGATTTAGTTTCATTGAAGTTTAAATCGTAAAATGAAAATTACTGCCTATTATTCTGATGTCAGCATAATGCAGGTCACACATCTGAATACAACTTAAAAAAAGATAAAATGTAACCTACAGACTTCAGGGATCTTCAAAAGGAACAGTGGATGCCAATTTTACATCTAGAACTTCACCGTATTTATGCTTCCTTCATCCGAATGTCCCACCAGGAATGGCTTTACCCATGAAGCCGTTCTGTTTGAAGCCTTGAGACTAGGTTTAAGTCACATATAACAACTGGGCTAAAAAGGAAAGAACGTTACTTACGGGGAGCACCTTCTGCCATCTCAATGGCTGTAATGCCACAAGACCAAAGGTCACTCTGCAAAAATAAAACAGTATGTTACAGGTACTGGATTAGATATGAAACCACTAACTTACCACAGCTGGCTACTTACACAAATGATATAAAGGCATTTTTGAAAAGAAGTTTGCCATGAAATTAAAAGCACACACATATGTAAGAATACCTTCCAAATGAATGAATGAATGAATGAAAAAATAAAGGTAAAATTGGTTTGCTAATTAGAACCACTCACATCTACGACTGAACTAGAGGTGGCCCACAGAAAAGCTTCTTTCTAACTGCCACTGCGTGCTCTGCTGCTCAGTATATTTCTTTACATTCACTAACCTGGACCCCTGGCCCAGATTTATGTTCAATTTTATGTTTTATGTTACTATCCCAAATTTAATTAAGATGTTAAAATTTTAAAGGCTAACCTGAAACTAACACAACACTGTATGTTAATTATACTTGAAATAAAAAAAAAATTTTTTTTAAAGAAAGCACTCTTTTATAAAAGGTCCAACAGTTGAATTAATAAAATCTACTGTAGTTCACTAATTTGAATCACAGTGCTGATGAGCCTCTCCACTCTCCCAACAAACTTTAATAAGGGGTGAGCAATAAGCTGTCTTTCTGTGCATGGAATCTCTCCTTCTGAGTCCCCTGCAATATTAATTTTAAAATTTGAATTTTAACTTCACTCCCCACTCAAATACAAGTTCCATGAGGGCAGGCACTTTTGTCTGTTTTATTCACCTTAGTATCCCCAGAATTGTGACTGGCATGTGGTAGGCACTCAACAAACATTGGCTGATTTCTTAAAATCCAAGGAAGAATTTTAAAAGTAGACAATGGGTAGTTATTATCATTAGCATTCTCTTGTTTATATACTATGCTAATGAAAGAATTAGTTAAAGTTGCTCAGCTTAAGCATTTTCTAAATAACCTATAATTATGTTACACAATTCAAACACGTTTGATTATAAGAAGAAGGATAGGCCCACAAATTTCTCCTTTATTTTTATGAGGTTTTCTCTACTATATGGCGCAAAGGAGGGGTTTCACCCAACTTGACCCAGTGACGAATCTTAGCAGCATCAGTGGTGGGACATGCCAGTTGGTGGCATGATGTTCCATGCCACTTGGTGTGATATAACACAAACCATACCCATCTCCTGGGGCAATCTTGCTTTAGTTCTTTCTTGATACTAATTGAATTTCTCCAGTTTATAAGAAACAAGGTAAATGCCTTACAAAGATTGTAAAATTAAAATTCAAAAATGGTAAGACAAATCTGGATGGTGGAATACTGCCTCTTCAACAAGTCAGTGTCATGAAAAAAAGGGGAGGGGGCTGGTTAGCCTTGATTAAAAGATACTCTGTGGCCAAACAGTCAAATACAATGTCTTGTTCTATATTAAACACCCGTTTGGATAAGTCAGATACTAACCAGTTGGGACTAATTATAGACTCCATATTAAGGAGTTATTTTTCTTTTCTTTTTTTTTTAAGATTATTTATTTATTTGAGAGAGAGAGAGAGAGCACGAGCAGGGGAAGGGGCAGAGGGAGAGGGACAAGCAGACATCCCACTGAGCAGGGAGCTCGATGCAGGGCTCGATCCCAGGACTCTGGAGATCATGACCTGAGCCGAAGTCAGATGCTTAACCAACTGAGCCATCCAGGTGCCCCAAGAAATTATTTTTCATTTACTTAAGCATGATAATATTTTGGGTATGCTGGAAGATGTTTTCAAATTTTGGAGATAACAAAATGACATATTCAAGAGTAAAAAGCCATACAGTCTATATAATCTGTTTTAAAATACTCCAGCATATGAAAAAATAAAATAAAAATTCCACCATACCATAAACTTAAAATAAGTTTCATTAATTGGGGGTATTTATAATAAATACTAAAACAGACTGGAGAGTGTAAAGATATGAACTCAAGTTTGAATAACATTAACAGGTACATAAACACTCTGACTCATTTAATTATGGCAAAACAATTTAAAAAAAATAATAATTTTTGCAAACATATTCAACCCTAATCTGATGATCAAATATGGGTTTTACAGTGGGATCAAAAAAGTGCATTATTGATATAAGTCCCTAGAGGTCACTCTTTAAATATATTTGTGTACCAAATCAAGCTGTAAAGCTCTTTAACAATACTCTAAAATTTCACATAGATGAAGCTACTGCTATATATTCCAACAATATTTTTAAAAGTATAATAAATATCTGATTATAATATATTCTTCAAGTTTAAAAGGACAGCAAACAGGGCAGAGTATTTAACTTACTCATGACAAAAAGCTCTATGCACAAGACAGTGACTCAAACTGCTGTGAAAGCAGTATATTACTTAGTAAGGAGAACAAAGGTGACAGGGAACGAACAACAAGACAGCATCTCAGTAATGCCCTGGAAAATCTGCACCTGCAACAAGGTTCGCAAGCCTTCCTCACTGAACCAGCAGGGCTGTGCTATCTATAAGCAGAGTGCCCATCCCTCAGGAACACGAGGGGCCCGGTGAAGGCCCAGAGCACAGGCTTACTCTGTAATCGTAGGTGGCATCTGGGTTCTCGTCGCAGGCGATGACCTCAGGAGCCATCCAGTAGGGCGTACCTATGAAGGTATTTCTCCTCCCAACCGTCCGGTCGAGCTGAGCACTCACACCGAAATCGACTGTGGGAGGAAGAGAAAGGAGTAGAACATAATTAACAAACAAGTAAGCCACAAGACGAAGAAATGTGGGGAGGAGGTGTCTTTAGTGTAAACTCAAAGAGTAATACTTCATGGACATGCAAACTCCTTAAGGTCACCAGCATCGATAAGGAGCACCATCTCCGGAGCAAAGCTGCCAAAATGACAAAATCCTCTCCCAGTCTGCTGGCTCCTGGGCAGCCTGGACCCAGCTACTTCCCTGAGCTTCCATGACAGTGACCACTAGAGGGACTTTTGGATGAATTAGGATGTTCAGTGCTTGCAGGAAACATGCCTGCTACAAACAAGATCAAGTCATAGAAAGCTCCAAGTTCAGGAGAACTGACTAACACCCACGTGACTTTGCTTAAGCAGCATTTAACCACAGAAAGAGAAAAAACTCACAAAGGTTTTCGGGAAAGTACATGGTAATGACCTCAATAAAGAGAATCAGGCTAAATCACAAATACACTAAGAAACACTCCTCAAAGTACCCGGGACTTCTGATTTTTCAGAGTGACCCCTACATCCCACTCCGCTGAACGATGACGGTGGTCTAGAGGAAAGTTCAGGTTGGGAGGCAGAGCTGGCAGGAAGACCAGGGTCTCTAACGGAATGTTTGCGGCATCACTATGCACACTGCTGTTACCGCTAGGAGGACTGCAGGATGGTGGACGAGCTCCTGCAGAAGCGCCTAGGGAGGGCTGAAATCACTCACAGGGGTTGGGTTATAGATTCAACTTCTGTAGGCAGAACATTCTCAGGAAACCAACTGGCCAGGAGTTGGGCTCACATGTCCTGACACAGAGACACCTGGGCCAGGCAATACATGCCATTTGCAGCAACTCAGACAGCAGTCACAAGTGATTACCAAGTGATTACAGAAGGACCATCACAGTCCTAGCACCAGGGGGCCAGCACAGGGAACACACACAGCTTACTGAGTCACTGGGAATGAGAACAATTCAAGTGTCTCCTATCTTAGCTTTGAGGGGATTTCCCCAATGGGCACACTTTTCCTCCACAGATGACCAATAAATGAAGGTACTGTGCAAGAAGGCAATAACGAAGATTTTATTTTTAAGGTGTAACTACTGTGCCTAAGATTTTTGAAAGATGGACTAGATTCTCATAAGCATAAACAATTTTTTTGTGTAATGCCTTAGTGGAAGAAAACTTAATGCTAATTGTTAAAAATTTGACAGAACCATTATATAAAAGTGGACTGAAAAAAGTTCAAATCCAGGTAAAGGAAACAAGAAATACAGAAGAACCATTATAAAATCATCTCCAGGAAGATACTTTGGACTCCATCTATCCATGCATAAATTTACTGAGCACCTACTACATTTAAGGCACTATGCTAGGTGCCAGATAAGAATGTTCTCGTAAATAAAACATCCTAGTTTTACACTTCCAGAACTTAAATTCTAGTAAATAAGTCAGAAATATACGTAAACAAATAGCTGTATAATTATAAATTGTGATCAGGATGAGTGAGGAAATAAGCCGTAGATCAAAAAGTCAGGGAATACAGATCAGAGTGTTAGGGAAGGCCTCTGAAGATGAGGAAAAAAATTGCAACCTCAAAGCTGTTCCCAATGGGGAACAGTATGTGCAAAGACCCTGTGAGACATTCCAAGGAAGTCAAAAAATGAGTGAACTGGACAAGGAGAGAGGTGAGAAGGGTCACAAAATGGGGCTGGAAAGTAGCAGGGGCCATGGCTTTTTATGGGCCATGGTAAGAAACGCAGATTTTATTCCAGGTGAAATAGGAAGCCACTAACGGTCTTTAAAGAAAAAAGTGCCGTGATCTGATTTAAACATTAGTCTGTCTACTATATGGAGAGCAGAGCAGGGGGAGAAGCATGGCGGGGAGGGAGGCTGGAGACAGACAAAGCAATAAGTCCACTTCCCATTTCTTGAATAGAACAGAAAGAGAAAATGTGGGTAATAGAGCTTTTAGCTAAATGCCAATGAGGTAGGGAGTGCTGCTGGTTTGCACCAGGGGCAAGTATTAGATCATGTGGCACATGCGTCACATACCAAGTTTCACCTCTGCATTCTCAGTCAGCAATACATTCTGGCCCTTGATGTCCCGGTGAATTACATGATGGATGTGAAGATGTGCCAGGCCCTGAAGAGGAGAGACAGGTCTGAATTTTAGTTCTTTGTTGCTGCAAATAAAGAGCCTGGAACACACTTTTTATAACAAAGTACACATGCAGGCCACAAGTTTTATGAACCATATTTAGAGCATACTATAATTCAGTCTTAGTGCATTTCCAGGAAGACATCACCAATAGTACCACACAAACAGAAAGAAGTACCCACCTCCCAGTTCCAACGGGTTAGGTCCCCCGTGTAAGCAACATGACCAGTTTCTAGCTGCTCCTTGAAGACACACTCTAGATTACCATCTGCAGTTTCTCTGCTGTAATTTGTGCTATTTGTGTATAGGGTGGTTCCTTTCCCACGCTACACATCCATCTTTCAGTGGGTGACCCCGTGGGTATATTTGAACTAGACCCATCCCAGGGGAAAAAACAAAGAGCCAGAGTGGGGTTTCAAGTCTGGCTCTTGAACACTGCCTCGTTTTCCCACCGCATAGTGACAAATTGCTAACTGCTGACCAATCCTACCTCCACCCCAAGTGTAAAACAATTCTGCCATCGAAAGAGCTTTATGCTCAAATAAAATATCTTTCTTTCCCAAGGAAATAAACCCTACCGGGCATACAGCACTTTCTGATGACCTTGTATCGGGAACAAAGCTCAAGAGCATGTCTCTTATGAGAGGTGCTGGAAGAACAAAACCACGTTTTACATCCAACTATGAACTGAGAGACAACTCCTGTATTTGTTCCGTCTTTAGCTAGAGAAGCCAAATCTACAGCCTGCCTCCTTAACATAGAAACAAGCTATCTATTCTGAAATGTCTCAATTCAAAAAGGCTAGATCAGAAGCAAGGGTTTATTTAATTTTCCTGTTTGATTTTTTGTGTGAGGTTCTATTGTTATCATTACTGTGCAGGATATGCATTAAATGTAACAGCTGCTCTAGAACACTGATTTTTCTAACACGGGGGATTTCTAAACAATAATTTACTAGTCTGCTTATAAAGCAGAATAGAGCGTACTTGATGGCTCTGTTTATTTTTCCACCACACAGGATGTGCAGTGTTATACCACAAAGCACTAACTAGGGGAAAAAGCACTAAAAATATATGGTATGTTAGTGTTATAGTTAGGAAGAAAGTCTCTTCCTTCAGCATGGCATAACTCTGAACAGCAAAGAAGCAACAAAAAAAAAGTACTTTCCCTAATTCTTTCATAATTCCTACTTCTACTACCTTCAGTTCATTTTACATTCTCTAACCTTCCCAAACCCCCTTCTTATACTTTCACAGGATTATCTTAGCAACAAACTTAAGTATCCACATCTTCTCAAACAATGTGGCCTGCGTGCACTCTTGTTTCTTATGAGCGATAAATTTTAAGAAACATCTACTTCCTGGTCCTACTGCTGAAGGACTGCTGTGTCTCTAGGTGAAACCACTCAAGGTGTGTCTAATACCTTGTAGGTAATGTGAACTTGAGTTATGATTATTCTAAACGAGTACATCTTTCCCTATATGAAGAGAGAATGTATGTTCAACTACTGTTGTATGTTCAACTATTCCCATGCCAAAATTAAGCCACAATTATGCCTCCTTAGCAGAGATAGTCCAGATAAAAATACACACTAAATACCATCCTAGAGCAAATGCATCAATGTTTCAAAGCTAGAAAACATTTTTCCTGTAACTCTATCTCATTCATGGACATAGAACAAAGGAACAGTCAAAGGCTGTCCTTCAGTATTGGTTATGAAACACTGTTAAGTACCCATACTCAGTATGAGTATCGGTTTCTACTAAAACGAATCAATGGCTGTGTAGACTATAAACGTGGAAGTGGGCTGGGATGAATGCACTGACTTTGTTGGTAAACCTCTGGTCTCAAGGATTTCAGTGGGTGAGCCCAAGAGAGCTTTCCTGCTTATGTCTGAGCCTACAAGCTCATGACTCTCAACCTTCTGAGGATCCTAACATAGTAATGGCATGTGAATCTAACACCTACTAAAGGATGAGAACAAGTTTTGCCACTGCAGAAAAGAGCTAACCCAGCAATGTCTTTGAGAACCAGGTTATCCACTTGGGCTGGCTCTTTCCATTCCAACAGCTCACCTCCTTCCTACCATATTGCTTTCTCTTTACCAAAGAGGACTCTCAGCGATTCCTGTGAAAAATACACACTAGCTTATAACACACTGACTCTTCCAGAGGCTTGTTTGTTTTTAGTTCACTTAGACTTTCGTCATAGGAAAAAAAACCCATTCTAGATGAAATGTAAATGAAGGAAACACTTTTTTCAGGTGCCACCAAGGTGGAAAACATTTGATGTATCTCTAAACGATGTCCATTAAGCTATTACATTCAGGTTGAAAGTCAGGGGCCTCAAACAACTTGGGCATCTTTGAAATGATGCCTGAGATCAATGCAAGTAAAATAGCTAAATATACACCTATTACATGATAGGTAAACAATGCTTGCCTGTATATATAAAAAACATGTAAATTGTCTTTGATGGCTGAAATACATTTGATGCCTAGGACATTTAAACTAAAATCTAGTTCTCCACTTGAGAAATCCCACACTGGAATTATATATAGAAAAGGTATGTGTAAGTATATGTTTATAATGGAAAACAATGACAACTATATTTACTGACAGTTATGTACCCACATGTTACATTAAATGATTCATATATACCAACTCATTTAATTCTCATTACAGTGGTACTTCCTTCACTGGATTGGTATCTAAATTCTACAGAAGAAAATAAGTCCTGAAAGGGGAGTAACTTTGCCAGGGGTATGCAGCAGGTAAGTAGCAAAGGCAGGACTCAAACCCATGTCTGACTCACTCTAACCACTATTCTCTCCTGCTGACCATTCCAAGAGTTTTAGTTGTTAACATAATAAATACATCTGCCCACTTGCTGAACTCCTTCACAGTAGTGCAGGGCAGGATACTTAGTTTTGCGCTTTTAGACTCTGCCTCCTATAATAACCATAAAAGATAGGACCCTCATGTTTTAATAATGAAATCAGAGAGTAATTACAAAAAGAGGGTTCTCCCACCTCACCCCCTACAACTAATTTTCTTAAGGGAATTGCTTATTTTTTCAAGGGCTTCATAAAACATCTAAATAAAAAGGAATTAAAATTCATCTCTATGAATTCTAAACGGCATTTTTTAAACCTACAGTCCTCTATGAAATTTAAATATAAAAGTAGGGTAAATTTGCCTATAAGTAAAAAAAGTAAGTAACAGGTTTTTTTATTAGTGAGAGAAGCATAAAAATTAGATTCCAGTTTAACTCCACAGTCTTTATTTTTTAAATGTGGTGGGTAAATGAAATCCAACCAAGTAATTTAAATGTGTAATTAAGGGGTAGAGAGAAAAATTGGGACAGCTGGCCAAAGGAAAGCGGCTCACCGGTAACTCACATGCACTTTTCAAATGCAAAATATACAGACCCTTTGCCTGTAGTGTCAGCGTAGCTCTACTACAGAAAGCAATCATTTAGAATCTGCTAAAACACTAGTTCAGAAACTTTAACATCATAAACCGGCTTTCCAATTGGCTGTAAACAACATTAAACATTAGAACTTTTCCTTGTTAATACTGCAACAGAATCTAACAGTTAATGCCAAAGTCCATAAGATGATTTTGAAAGCCAGCGTTTGACAACATTAATATTGATTCATGAGCTTAGACAAAGGATTCCTATAAAAACAATAGTTAGAGACTGTTTCTCTTCACTTGGATTTTGTTTTTAACACCTGGAGGGTGAATTCAGGGAAATGCAAATAACTATTTTTGTTTAAGTCTACTTTCTTTAGATACTTGTCACAATCAAAACCATGATGTAGCTTAAACAATCAAAGCCAGCTAGTTATACAGAGCCCTTGGCTGTCATGAAAGAACAATCTATACAGTTATAACTAATGCAAAGAAATATTTCGGGCTAGGAAAATGAAAATGGAAACACAAGACCATGCACAGGACACCTTCTCCTTACCCTCAGGATTTCTCTGGAGATGTAAGCTATCCAATCTTCCTTGAGTGTGTTCCCTTTGGTGTTCTTCACAAGGTCTGTAATGGACCCAGCCCCACAGAACTCCATAACAAGCTACAGGGCAGAAAAGACAGGCGGTGACTAGCACATCCCAGCAACCAGTGAGAGCATCCCCACGATCAATATACAGTGGACATTAGTCAGGAAAGCAGAGTCTAACTCCTTCCGCCTTTCCTAAAGATGTGGGTACATGATCATTTTGGAAGCATCCAAGTTACTGAGAGCTCATTTCACCATCCAATTTATTCACTGTGTATGTTTGGTCCAGGACATTAAGTTTCTGATATTTTACAGCACATCCCCCAGTGCAGAGATTCTGAAGTATTCCTCCTCTCTCCTAAGTACATGGGCATGGGACGACCATTTTGTCCTTAATCAGTACCCAATTATCAGATATCTGATAGAGATACTCTAACATCTGTTCTTATTTGCCAGAGTCAAAGATATCCTCTTTCATACATTATGATTCTCAAACTACTTTATATTCAGAGAAATGCTATCTTAAGCAGTACATAATTTTAAAAATACATTATTTATAATACCTAAATGTTTACACAATATCAACACACGTATGTTTTTTAAATATCTAAAAAATGAACTAAATTGAGCTATTTTAAAATTTTAACTTTGGTTGGATTTGGGCAATGAAAATAAAGGTTAAAATTAAGGCAAAATGTTACAAATTTTCTATAATGGTTTTAAAAAAATTAGAAAAAGTATTTATCTTCCTGCTTCATAAGTCCAGTACCTTTGGCAAAACCCATGTGCTAACCATAGATCTGACAACATCTGTGTCATCATCGTCAGTATAGATGTGGCTGAATAAGAGATAAGACTGCACGTATATTCTAGAAATTTCCCTGGAATTTCCTGTTTTCAATTAACTGTTACCATTAATATTATTAAAACTTATATGTTTGTCCCTTACTTCCAGGTTGTAAAGATGCATTTAGTTGCACTTCCATATTAATTTCCATAAATAAAGTTTTTACTGTATTGATTTTTCAAGCTCCTAATTTCCTTGCTATTTGGTTACATTCCTTTTAAAACGTGCCATTTTATTCCTGAAACAAAGTTAACTCTTTTCCATGCAATGTGAAATCAACATAAAAATAAACATTTAGTATACCTTTAAGAAGGCCAAGGAAGATAACAGGCACTACCCCCCTTTGTCTTTGCTTTTCTCTCCCTTCCCTCTAGAAGGTCCTTAATGTCCTTTGAGTACCACCAAAGAGGAAACCACACAAAATGCTTGGGAAACACTGGCCTACCCAGAGTTGGTCATCATGTCCTGGAGGGCTCTTTTTAATGAAAGCACCGTAATATGTTGCAATATTTCTATGATGAGAGTATTTCTTCAACATATTTATCTCCAGTTTGATTTCTTCCTCTTCATCCTTAAGAAAAAAATAAAAAAATAAAATGTGTGGCTTTTGAATGTCATGCATGACTTTAACTTCCCCACCCATGGGCAAGAACACAAGTTCCCAGTCCCTCCAGCAAGAGTGGAAGATATATTCACTTTATCCTCATGACAAGAATTGGGGACTTTAACAGGACTCCTCCTTTGAAATGCTGTTATAAGCTATGCAAGAAATACATAAGTATGAAAGTTACAGAGGTATTTAAGAGGTAGATGAAGCAGCTTTCCCAAGAACTATCACCTTTAAACCTCAATTTGCTCATTTGTAAAAATGGGGGAAAAAAGGAGAACCGATTGATACTATTTTTCGACTAATTACAAGGAAAGGCTGTTTCTTTTCTAGAAAATGTTTGTGAATAGAAATCATCTGGCACAGCTACGGCAGAGAAGTTTCACCTATGACAATCTTGCACCAGAACATTACCTTCTGGTGTGGCCACAGGCAGATTACTGAATACAGACCAGTACCGCAAGCCCTGGATGGATGGCATGCTTAATGAGATCCTCTGCCCCAAAAAGAGATTCAGGTGAGTCTGGTGGACCCACAGTAATAAAACATCACTCAGTGACAGCAGGTTGTTTTAGACTTGGCTCATCCTCCAGCCTTTTGCTTTATTAAAGTAAAATGAGCAGAAGAAGAAATAGAGTTTGTGTGAGCAGATCAGAAGGGGGATGAAATAACAGATGGAGACACAGGTCTGGAAAATAAAACTAAGTTGCCCTTGTGAATGGGGAGGCCTGCCAGTCTCCACTTTTCTCTCTCATCCACCCCCGGGGCAGAACCTGCAACAGCATGTGCATTCTGTCCCCTGTTGCAGACACATAATACAGCGAGGGCTCTGCCACACAACCTGCAGAGTTAATAAGTAAGATTTATGGATAGCATGAGAACCAGAGTTAAAGTGAAGAGGAGAGAAGGTGGAGGAAAAGAGAAAAACCAGCTCTGGCTAGAAAAGCCACGTTTGAGGGAAGATAAAAATCTTAAAGGAAAATGTGATAATCAGATCTCTAGAATTCCCTTTAATGACTGGTTCCGCACAATGTCCTCACTTCTCCCCACTGGCACATTGATTCCGCTTATAACTGATGTTCTTCCTTCTGCAGGAAGACACAGGATTTCTGAGCAGTCAAGATGCCTGTATGTGCACGTGTTAAGAGAAAAAGAGACTGTGCATGTGAAAGCTAGTGTATCCACGTGGACGCACACAGCTGAAGAAACCGAGTCTTGCAGACTTGCATCTCCAAAAACCATTCATAAGGCCTCATAGACCTAAAGTAAGTTTGGTTTGAAAATACTGTTAAGATAAAAGCTACAACAGGGCGTCTGGGTGGCTCAGTTGTTAAGCGACTGCCTTCGGCTCAGGTCATGATCCTGGAGTCCCGGGATCGAGTCCCACATCGGGCTTCCTGCTCAGCAGGGAGTCTGCTTCTCCCTCTGACCCTCTTCCCTCTCGTGCTTTCTATCTCTCATTCTCTCTCTCTCTCAAATAAATAAATAAAATCTTTTAAAAAAAAGATAAAAGCTACAACATCATTAATTAGATATTAGTCATGAGACCAAATGAAAAAAGAAAAGGTCTTCTTAAAATACAACTTTCAGCTGTACACTACCGCTTTAGAAACAACATGTAACAAAACATGGAATCATCTTAGAACAGTGATTCTTAAGATGGTGGCCTCCAGTTTGGTCCCTAGACATAAGTATCAGAATATTACAGCATATTAATAGGCATAGTTGTCACGTGACTCTGGCAGATGGTAGATGCAAATATGAAGCAAAGTCACATAGACACATACAGTTTATATAGCAGTCTGTGGGCACTAATTCTCATTCAAACCCTGTATATATGAAAATACACCACATGCATATCATTTCAATCTGATTTAAACATGGCCATGTTTAAAGCAGCAATAAAAACTGAGATACTGAATAACTAGGAAAACTGTCTTAATCCTAAACAAAAGCAGTGTTTCGCCTTGGGGAGGGGGACGGGCAGTGTTTAGCCTGGCTAGTATTACAAAAGAACACACTTCTATTTGGGACCTTTCTTCAAAGGAACTTTATACTAAAACATAAAGGGTGACAATTTTTTTAACGTAAGGCACAAGGAAGCATGCCCCAAACATGACTAGAAAGCCCAATTCACCTAAAGCTTTATCTTGTGCTCTTTCCATACATTCACATCACAGGCACAGTGTGTAATGACCACAACTTGCTGGCACAAAGCACATGGAGCCCGTTCTGTCCTGAGTCACCAAAACTGACAACTTACTCCCAACAGTATCGGGGAGCAGCCCAGGACAACTCTAATGGGACTTGTCAAGACCAACAGGTTCCTAACAAAAAGCACCTGACTATGGCCATAAACATTCTCTAGCAGAAAGGCATGCAGTGTCACTCCTGGATTCAGGCCTATGGCTAAACATGTTGGGCCCTGGAAAGTTAAATATCCCATTTTCCTTCCACTGGACTACAACTAGATAAAGGTTTGATTTTTTTTCCTTTTATCCAAAATCAGTCAACGTACAAAGATCTGGGGTACAAAGACTACAGAAAAGCAAGCAAAAATAACAATGTTGAACTAAAATAAGGGAAATAAAAATATTGATTTTAATTGTGTATTTGTAGCCAATTATGCCATGCAGTATGTGCATCATATTGGGTTTCAAGACTGCTTTATCGATTCATCCCTAACTACTTCCCTCCACTCCTCATATTGGCTAAATTATTCCAAGGGTCATTATTCCATATGATGCTCTGCCAGTACATTTCACTTCTTGAGAGGAAACAAATGTTACCTACAATTCTCCCATGAGAAGCTTCCTGAGCAATAATTAAGGATCACAACGTATTTTGTTTAGTTTTGATTTTTTTTTCTTTTAGCGACACAAACCAATGTCTTCTAGGATCTGACTTGTTCACCATTCTTTTCTAAGAATTAAGAGCTTCCAGAGGCACTTAATGTTTTCAGAGCCCATGGAGTTGAAATTCTTGTGCATTTCATACATTTAAAAATTGTCACAGGCTTAAATTCAGTGCTAGTCGCTGGTGTGAAAGACACTTAATATGCATAATGGTAGATAATTCTGGCAGATTATCACAGCACAATCTATTTCCTTAAATCCAAGATGCCACTAGACAGAGACACTGAAGTACTTTAATGAAACTGATTCACCATGAACCATAGACATACACTGTAACATTTTTTTAAATTGGGCTACATATTAGAAACAATGAAATATAAGAACAACTTAAATACAATCAAGTTTGGCAATACACTAAAACATCCAAGTATCATCTGGAAATATAGTAATCAGATTAATGCCACTTGCCGAAGTATTTCTGAGGTTTAAGTAGTCAAATCCTGGAAGCATATGAAATTGAACTACCAAAAATATCAAGAGGAACATATTGTCCTCTCAAATTAGTGTTTTAGGAACTAGTTTATACATACTTTGAACATTCCTTCTCGTGCTTCTATGATTTAAAAATGACTATTACACATCTTATAAAATAAAATAAAAGGATATTTAGCACCACTAATTGTCATATACTAATTAAGAGTGCCCACCTTGGAGAAAAAGCATCAGAAATGCAGAATCTGCCAATGGCTCTGAGCCAACTACATCCGGAATCCTAATTATGACTAATGTATATAATACATGTTGTCTTTGGGGCAATAATGAGCCAACCTCTGAATTCAAATTTCCTTTTGGTCATTAGTTAAAAGCAAGTTTGGTGGTCTCATTCAAACATTTAAATATGTAACCACCACCACCACCACCACCACCACCACACACCTCATTTAGCCTGAGAAAATACAGTAGAAAACAGAGTCCGGGCAGGCTAGAACTGAAATTTAACAACAACCCCATATATGAAAGAAAGTGGAATGGACAAAACAACACGACTTAAGTGATATATCCCATCTGTCTAGGCCAAGTCCAAACGACCTTGCCCTTCATTCTCCTCTTTAGAAGGGCACAGTCATATACAGATGAAAGCAAAACTAAACTAAACTAAAGGTAACTAGAGAAAGGAAAGAGGACATTTTGGTGAGAAAAGGAAGGCTCCCTCCCGGTTTTCTCCAATGATGAGGCAGCTGCTAGGCTCCACTCAGTGATTTAATGCAGCTGATGCCAATTAGCATTTTGGACTCCAACCAGGAGAGCCAACTCTCACAGAAAAGGTCTTTGTCTTCGACTGGAATAGGACTAGGCAAGGAGTTTTCTGTTGCCTTCCTTGGCCGCTTAGAGGATGGAGGAGGGGGAAACATCTGAATAGTGGTAATTTTCAAAAGCAGCTATGGATTTGTAAATAAGTCATAGGGCAAACCCTGCCCACTCCACCATCTGAGCACAGAGGAGTATATATTATGAGTGTGTTTTTTTAAACTGACTCCTTAAAATGTTTTTTAAACTGTTACCCAAATTCTTTCCTTCCACTGATGGCAGTAATGATATGAGGAGAGACAGGCAGACTTCAGATAAGTTAATTGGGAGCAACCCAGAGGATTGGGAAATATTCTGAGTAATCATCTTTTTTCCCAGCATAATTCTTTACAGAATTAGATCTACCCATTAATAATAGTTGGAACAAAAAAGAAAGGGTAATTCATTATTCGCTCTATCTTTGCCAGTGGAGAGAGGGCTGAGAAAATGAGATATACAAATATCTGTCAGATTTCACCATCAAAATGTAAAAATGAATATACACTTAGAATGAAAATAAAAAAGACCAGGGGCGCCTGAGTGGCTCAGTCAGTTGAGCGTCTGCCTTCAGCTCAGGTCATGATCCCGGGGTCCTGGGATCGAGCCCCGCATCAGGCTCCTTGCTCAGCGGGAAGCCTGCTTCTCCCTCTCATACTCCCCCTGCTTGTGTTCCCTCTCTCTGTCAAATAATGGATAAAATCTTTAAAAAAAAGGGGGGGGGCATATTTCTTAAAAAAAGAAAATAAAAAAGACTAGTTTTAT